CCCGACGGAAATGGGGTTTTCTACGCTCTGCGGCGCTGCTCCAGCCGCCAAACGCCGCTTCTTTCTGCGTACGGCCGGCGCTCACGTGGAATGCCATGCGCGAAGGGAGCGGCAGGCAGCAGGCGCTACGCTCGCCCTGCTCCACTAGGGCAGAAGGTCAGCGCCGAGCTGGGAAGATGCCTGGAGTGGCACAGGGTTGGACCGCAGGTCAGAGCCAGAGCGGCTTTCAGCAGGACCTAAAGCTGCAGCCACAGTGCCAGCTCTGTGTCAGCTTCGCCCTGCTGTCAGCAGCACTGCCCGTGTTTGAAAGAGCAGCAGCTGCCCTCCTGCCTTCTGTACCAGCACGCTGCATCCCTCAAAGGCAGCATTGTGCCCCACCAACAGCAGCAGGACAGCAGCCAAGGCCCTGGGCAAGACAAGAGATCAGGGCTGTGCTAAAGAGAGAGGTGGAGGAGTTGGCCCATGTCCAGACCAACACTGGTGACAGGCAACTTACTTCCCCTACTGTGCTTCAAGACGCTGCCTCAACTCCAAGGAGGCAACAGGAAAGAAGGCCAGTACCAGCTTTGGATGAAATAAAACACAGACAGCCTATCATTCTGAAAGAGGGTAAGAGTAGCTGCGGTCCAGGGAAACACTTCCTTGTGTAAAGCATAGCCCCTGTAGAGTGTAAGAGGGGACAGAGCAGGCCAAAGCCAAAGCAGGATGCTGCCTGCACTGATCAGAGCAACCCTAAAGCAGGAAGCCTCCAGCCAGACTTTGTCACAGCCCCTGTTGTAGTGGCACAGAATTAACACGAACCAGTTTAGGTCCTTTAATCTGTCCAAGACAGGGTGCTGAAGCACAAATGATAAAACATTCTGCATTTTTACAGCAAAAAAATGCTACAGAAGTTTATAGGAAAAAAAATATTTTTGTACATGGGTAAAACATTATAAATTCAAGACAACTCACAGACAAAGGGTAAATTCCCACAGCTATCGCTCATTTCTGTTAAAAAGTTCACTTGAATATGCAAGCAGTCAAAATAGCTTGCTGTTCTTCCTTGAAATGAAAATTCTTTCTTCCAAGTGGCTCACAGTACTCCTTTGCACCTTGGAATGTCCTCCGAAGGCTCCGCCAAGATAAAAGGAGAATAAAAACCCCTGGAGTCCTTTCAGATAGTCTCAGAGATCAAGAGAAGGGAAAGGAAAAGGGAAGTTTATTCAAACTTGATCTTCTTCCCTTGTGGCTTGTGATCTCCACCTCCTCCTCTGCCTCCTCGGAAGCCACCTCCTCCTCTGCCTATAAAAAGAGAATGTATCAGGAAACAAAGATGCATGGCTCCCCCTACAGTCATCACTACCTTTCCAAATCCCTCCCTGGTACAGGACAGAAAATAAATTCACATCCAGCACTCTATGGTGGCAGCACCCTGTAACCCCAAGAACAGCTTCAGCTGACTTTTGACTATGGGCCTTAGAAGGTTACTTACCTCCAAAACCTCTGCCACCACCTCTGCCTCCAAATCCACCTCTTCCTCCTCGGCCTCCTCTGCCACCACGACCACCAAATCCACCACCAAATCCACCACCACGCTGAAATTCACCCTTTGGTTTGGCAAAATCAAGGATCACTTTGTTTCCATCTATCTCTCCATCCTCCATAGCCTCTTTAGCTGCTTTGGCATCTTCTGGGGAGCTGAAGTCCACAAACCCAAACCTAGGCAGTGGATTAAGAGAAAGACAGTCAAACCACACGCAACCCATGAACTGTAGCACCACCTACTGGCACTTGACAGCAGTCCCTTAGGTAACAGTAGCATCTGGAACTGTTACTTGTAAACCAGTAAGCGGCTAATCACAACTGATGTAACCACGTTGTGAGTGTGCCACTACCCAGCTGTTAATGTCCTTCTCGTGCGAATCCATAGGCTGCCACTGATCTGTCGGCAGGAAGGAGCTCATTGAGAAGTGAGCCTGCCCAACCACAGCTACATGCCCCCCCTCCTCTAGTTCCACACCATCTACTGTCTCCTAAGAATCACCTACATAAGCCTTAGATACACCCTGCACCACAGATGTTTTTCTCCTGCAGGAACTGAAGGAACCCCCCGTGGTGCTTAACGTACCCTTTAGAAGAGCCCGTGTCCCTGTCTGTGACTATTCGAGCACTTATAGAGCCTTCAAACGATTCTCTTAGCGTCTCCTCCGTTGTGTCCTCAGAAAGGCCTCTGACAAACAACGTTTTGCTTTGTTCTGTGGAAAGAACATTCAGAGATCAGTCTGAGCAAAGCTACCATTAACTTCTCAACACCGCATTCGGCCTGCATTACCGACTCCAACAACAGCTCCCAGGGCTTTTTCTTTTAAAGGAGGCTGAGGCACCCAAAGGTAGATGACCTTGAAAACTCTCTGAACTGCAAACAGAACCTTTCATCCAAGTGCCTCCAAATGGACCCACTTGGTACCATCAAATTCATTCCCCTCCACATTCATCCTGCCATAGATACAAGTGAATCAGTACAGACACTAACAGGGTAACAGACACTGCTGGATCAGCACTTGACTATCTAGAGGACTTTAGAAATCGTTTCATCAGCATTTCAGATAATCAGTCATCACATCCAGCACATCTGCTCATGTCTTTCACAGTTGTTTGCGGTTGTGTTTTTGTTTGTTTCTTGAAGCAGACAAAAGTTGGCAGGAATTGCACACTCTTACCACAGGATCAAGTAATCAGGCACGGAACACTTACGGTTAAATCCTCCTCTTGCATTCATGTTCCCTTTCTGCCACGATGGTGAACTGAATTCCAGCCTGATTGCTCTGCCTTCAATTTCTGTGTTGTTACAGGAATTCAATGCCTCTTTAGCATCCTCGGCTGTGGGAAATTCTACAAATGCATACCTATTTGAAGAGGAAGGTTTCAGTCAGCTTGGGAGGCACAGCACATCAGCAGAGGTAAGGCATTCACCATGCCAACTGAGGACTCAGTTATAAACATACCCTTTAGGCCTGCCCTGGTTGTTTTGTGGCATCTTGATGGAAGTTGCTTTTTTAAACAGTTCCTGCAGAGTTTCTTCTGAGGCAGCATAGGACAGGTTGTTCACAATCAGCGTCTTCGACTCCCTCTCTCCACCTCCTAGAAAGGAAACACAATGAGTCAAGTCCAAGCTTAGAGAGGGAGAGCTCTCTACCTCTGGGCACAAAGTCTCCTCCTAAGGAGATGGCAGCTGTTGCACCCCCTTCCCACTTTGAGGTGAGGCACAAAGCCAAGAACCAATGCTGTTCTGGTCACCTGGACTAACTGCCCTTTTTTGTCAGAAACATGCAGGAGAAACCTGCAGTGCACGCCATGTGGAGCACAAGGAAGGGAAAAGGCTCCTGCCCGTTATCTCACAGCTTTGCTGCAGTGCTTCAAGTCATTCTGTCCCCAGCAAGCTTCTGACACAAGCAAAGTCCTGCCCTCTGCATGCACACTATTAATCTGAAAACACACCTTTCTGATTTTCTTGTTGGCTCTTCTCACCGGTGTAATCAATGACCATGGCACGACCATCAACCTCTGTGCCTTGTTTCTCCTCCAGTGCTTTTTCTGCCTCAGCTTCTGTTTTGAATTCAATATAGGCCATCCTACAACAAAGAAAGCGACAGTCATTCCCGCAAGGAAATTAATCCTTAAGTTCAGGATTGAATGCCTGAACACATCAAAATGCAGTAACAGCAAACACTTCACAGTTTCTCTACATACCCCTTGCTGCTCCCTTCCTTGTTAAGTACTAGTCGGACCTCTACAGCATTTTCAAACACATTTTTCATTTCCTCTTCAGTTACACGGTAGGGCAGATTCTTCACAAACAGTGTTCTAGCATCTCTCTCTGCAAAGAGGAAAGAAAAGTTCTCACCATCTGCTCCATATCCCTTCTCGACAAGCAGACAGACCAAATAAATCCAGCAGAAAAAAAAAACCTTACAGTACAGATTTGTAGTCCCAAACGCAGAAAAGGCAAGAGCAAAAATTAATTAGGTTACCATTATGTTGTTTCCCTAAAGGCACTGAAGTCTGAATACAGCTCCTAAAGCTTAGGACAGGACCACATGCCCTCCTCATGCACTTACTACGTACTTACACTACTTCCTTCCAGCTCAGTGTTTCAGATTTGCAAGTCAGAACTTGCACAGCCATTTTAGTACTCAAGAAACTACAACACAGGGATCAGACCAGGGAAATGTCTTTTAAGAGCAGCACAGCAGCCATTAGTAATGCCACCCACCTTTCTTCAACGTGCAGATAGCTCAGAACTGAGTCCTACCTTTCTTATTTTCTTTAAGACTTTCTTTGCTCTTTGCCTTTTCCAGTTTGATTTCCAAACCCATCAGCTTCTTTCCATTCAGCTGAAGAGCTTTATCCATATCTTCAGCAGATAAGAAATCCACGTAGCCAAACCGCCTGAAAGAAGAGCAGCTTCACTGTTTAAGCTGATCTATTTCTAATAACAAACACATACAGAAAGCAAGAACAGGGGACTGTGGTCAAGCTAAAGCGTCAATAAAAACACAGGCAGGCCAGCACAGATAAGTAGCAGCAGAGAACAGCAGCTCTGTACTGAAGTGGCAGCTCTCCCTTTAGGGATTAGTGCACACCTGAAGTACACCACCACCATCAGCACTACACGCATTCCAGTCCCTCTTCCAGCTTCCATTTGCTATCCAACAACCACTCCAGCACCCCAAAGGGAATTAGTCACAGCCATCCACATGAACTGCTGCCAAGTCAAAGAAAGAAGCAGCACAACTCCACAGAGGAACTTACTTGGAAGAACCAATTCTGACTTCTGAGACCTGGAGATTTTTCTTGCCAAAGAATTCTTTGATGGCAGTTCTCAGTTCTTCGTAGTCCTTGGTTGGGGTCAAGTTTTTCACAAAGAGCGAGAAAGCTGAAGCAGGTGCTTTGAATGAAGAGACATTTGAACGTAAGGCAAATGAAGAGAGTTGGAATTTAGATTACCAACAGCATTAGCACATCAGTTTTGCTCAAAACTGACATCACATTTCAGTATTAAGTCCCTTATGATCATCATTTGTGCTGAGGAAAAAGAAAACACTGAACATCCACAGCCCCTTCACCATTTCTACACACCTCACCCAGCAGTCCAACAACTCAAATGAGCATCACTTGTGACCCCACGTCACTTACTTTCTGTTTTCTTTTTCTTGGCCTCTGGTGCACTCTTGTTGGCCATTTCTTTTTTCCTTTTTCCAGGTGCTTCCTTGACAGGTTCTGTGGTTAGGGAACAAGAAACAACACTGAAATAGAAGTACATGAACAGAACAACAGCTTCTCCTGCGCTCTATCAATACAGGACTATTAAAATCTTCACTGCTCAAACAGAAGGCCAGCATTACAATTCTGCAGTCCTAAAGACTAAAACACACAAAAAATTTTGCTTGGACACTTTTTTGGCTATTATGGAAAACTATGTTATATAAACTCACTTTCATCCTCACTTTCTTCCTCATCCTCCTCTTCATCATCTTCATCCTCCTCATCTTCATCCTCATCTTCTTCATCTTCCTCATCTTCAGACTCTGCCTTGGCTTTAGCTGGAGCAGCCTTGGCTGGAGGAGGTTTCTTCACAGGAACTGGTGTTGTGTCCATGGCCTCATCTTCAGACTCTGCAACAGGTTGAGTGAGAGATTTCATGAGCATTCCAGATGAAGCCATTTTTGAGTCTAAAAAAAACACTCAGCTCTACAGTTTTGTATTCCTCATGAAGCTTATATGTTCTCAGGAAGTTTTGTAATGTTTCAGTATCCTGCCTGTATCTCAGCTTTTACTGCACTAACATCTCTTAAGGTTTTAATTTTCCCCAACAGTAGAAAAGTAAACACTCCTGCCATATCTGACAGACACTGGTTGCCAGCTAAAGGCAGCTGGGCACTAACTGGACACAGACACACTGCATCACTCCCACTAACCCACCCCTCCACTGAGCTCCCTGAAAGCATCCAACACTTTAACAACTATATTTTCCAAACCTTTCGTTTCTCTAAATGCTTTATGGACCACATACCTTCATCCTCCTCGTCCTCCTCATCCTCCTCCTCATCTTCTTCATCCTCAGATTCCTGCTTTGCTGGCACAACAGCAGGCTTTTTGGCTGGTACAGCTGCTGCGGATTTTTTGGCTGCAGGCTTCACAGGCATTGCTGGTTCCTCTTCCTCATCTACCACAACAGTACAATAAGCCTTTATCCATAGCACTCAGTGTTCAAACTCTGCCAGGCACTTTGCTTCATCCAAGAAAACTCAAAAGGAGTGGCACACACTACAAGTAACACAGCTGCAGTATGGAAAGTTCTCCAACATTTACCAAAGCCCCAACTTTCCTCCCTCCCTGCCCTTCTGTATGCTGCATTTTGCTGCACTGTCAACTTCAAAAGTAATCAATTTCACCTACAAGACCAAGCCAACTTTGGTCAACTCACAAAGACAGAAATGAGTTCCAAAAGTAACTTACCAGACTCCTCTTCTTCATCTTCATCTTCCTCGTCATCTTCCTCATCATCTTCATCTTCTTCCTCGCTCTCTTGCTTCTTGGCATTCTTGCCATTTTTCGCTCCTTTGCCTAAGACAGCAGCCTTTTTGGGTGATGGAGCAACAGCCTTTTTAGCTGGAGTCGCCACAGCCTTCTTGGCTGGCGTCACTGCCTTTTTTGCAGGAGTGGCAGCCTTCTTTGCAGGGGTAGCAGCCTTCTTGGCTGGTGTAACTGCTGCTTTCTGTTGTTTCTTTGGAGGGACCATCATCTGAAAGAGATTTATTGAATGTGAGACTAGTGCTGCCCCTGATGGGATACCAAACTGATGAAAGTGACCCCTCAGTGATATTATGCCTTCACAGCCATTTAGAACTCTGCAGAACTCATGAAGCTGGCACTTTAGGAGCTGCAGCAAGCATGTAACTAGCTCCTTATGCCAAATTAATTGAGATTCTTGCTTTTTCTGTGCCACTGCTGCACCTGTTCTGCCTATTCCATTAATTCAGTTAAAACACTAATAATAACTACAATCTAAAAAACTTATTTTTCTGACACTAATTTTTGCTTTTTACCTTATTTGCCTATTCTGTTGAATTACTGTAGCTTGAAAGCAGCTTTTTAACAGGTTAACAGCAAAACATCCAGCAACTGTCTGCTCCTGAACCAATCCCAACAATCCCTCCTTCCCTTCAACAGGAACCAACACCTTGAAGTTTTCACTCCTGTGCATTAGGTGTGCAATAAATCAGTTACTGCTGATGAATTAACCATTCACTCACTCTTAGCTACTCAAACCAGCTTTAAGATCCCCACAGTCCTTCCAACGCCAGGAAGCAGGGCTTGAGCTGCTCAGCCCTTCCCTCACTGCTTTCCCCTTATGCAATCCAGTTAATCCTTCAGGCACAACGAACATCCCCCCAAGCTGTTTACCAGCATGGATTCCCCACCACATCCCCCCATAACTCTCAGCCACTTCTGAAGCTCGTGGCTGCACGCGCTCCACAGAAGGCTCACCTCTTCCCCACTGCTTTCCTCTAAATCGGAGGACTCTTCCTCCTCGCTTTCCTCGACCTTTTTAGGGGGAGGCGCCATTTTTTTCTGCTTCATTTGGTTCTTGGGAGTCTGCGGGAGAGAAGGGACCGTGAGAATGCGTTGCGGTACAACTAAAAGCACCGGGCGCGCCGCGGGGCGGACAATCACCCCAACCACGTGGCGGCCCAACACGCCCCGCCCGGCCCGGAGCTCCCCGCGTGGTGTCCCCGTTCCTCCCCCACCCCCACGTGTTCGCTCTCCGCTGCACCACGTGGCCGGCCCCCCCTTTCCCCCCCCCTCGCTCCGTGACCCCCCTACGCAGACCCCCCTCCCGCCCCGCGCGCGCCAACATGGAGGAAGAACGGGGGAGGGGGAGGGGGGCGCGCTCGAAACCTTTCCCACCGCGCGCGCGCGCGCCCCTCCCCTCGCCGCCATTTTCACTGTGAAGGAAAAAAGAACGGGCGAGAGGGTCGGGAACGGCCGCGCGGCGCTGGCGACGGCGGGAAGAAGCGCGGCGAGCCCCGGTCCCCCCTTGGGCCCGGCCCCGCGGGCTCAGAGCCGGAGGCCCCGCCGCGCCCGAAGGCCCCGCCCGAAGGCCTCACCTTGGCGAGCTTCACCATGATGGCGGCGGTGCCTGGCGGCGCTGGGGCGGCGGCCGAACTGCTTCGGGGGGCGGGAGTGCGCGTCCCTGGGGGGGTTACGGCGGGGAACGGAGCGGGCCCCGGGAGCGGCGGCGCGGCGCTGCCGATGCAGACCGGGGACTGAAACGAAAGAGCGAGCGCACGGCCCTTCCGCTGGCTTGCCTAGCCCTCGGCTTCGCCCCGCCCACTCCGCCCCCGCTCCGTCCAATCGGCGCTCGCGCCGCGCCGCGCGGCCAATCGCCGCTTCCGCCCCTCGAGCCCATTCGCCAATCGACGTGGCTTTATCATCAACCAACGGGAGAGCGCGTTACAGCGTGCAGCAAGTGGAAAGCTCGCGAGATGTGGGACGAGAACTTGGGATCTTAACGCCCGCCCTCGAGGAAGTGGGGAGACCAGTAAGAAGGCGGCAGCTCGATGCCTGCGCTCTGATTGGACGGAGCTCTTAGCGGAGAGCGGGCGTGTCCGGGACCGCGGGAGAGCACGTGGCGGGCAGCGGGCCACGTGGTGGGGCCGGGCAGGGGGCAGCGGGGGAGCGTAGGGGGCACCGGGAGGGCTCGGCAGTCCTGACGGAGCTGGGAGCTGGCTCCCAGGCTGCTCAGGTACTAGAAGGAGGGGGGGAGGGAGGGGGGGGTTGCTGTTTTATTCGGGAGCTCCTAAATTATGGCACTGGGGTCAGGGGTTCCAAAATTATGGGGTCGGAATCTGTCTTGCTCTGCCCGTGCCCCTCAGCCCCGATATTAACCCCCGCTCCGGCACTGACCCCTCTTCTGCGGGGCTGCGGCAGCACTAGTGTGAGTCCTGAAGCAGGAGAGCGAGCAGCTGCTGGCGTGATGCTTGCCTTGAAGGACCCCAACTGTGCTCCTATCCTTGGAGAAAAATAAACTGCGTCCGCACGATGGATGACACTGAATTTGTTCATTGGGAGATAATATTCCTGTGGGGTTTTATTTCAGTGCATGCAATATTGGGTGTAAATGGTCCTGGGCAGCCTCTGGCACTGCCCCCCCCGGTGTGGTATTACTGGAGCCCAGCTCTGTCCCCAGGGCTCCAGGCTCACCCCCGTATTCCCTCTGCCCTTCCAGGGCTGCTGGAGAAAAGCTCCTCACCTGGGGGAGAAAACCTAAAGAAAAGAGGTGGGGACTGTGAATGAATGAAGTAGTATGTGGTGTGAGGAGGTGCCCCTGGATGCTCAGGGGGGACCTGGAAATGTTTTGCCTGCCTGCAGACAGACTGACACCATAGGGAGGAATGGAGGTGGGGCAGGGGGACACTGCTAGCATCACTGTGTCTGTCACATGCGCTTGTGGAATATGATCACTCAGACTTCCAACCTCCACATGCTGCAGGAACCATCCCTGAGTGCCCAGGGTGCACCAAAGCCCCGTGTTAGCTCTGCAGCACAGCTCAGAGGGAGCCTCAGGGCCAAGGCAGGGCTGCAGCCATCTGCAGCATCAACGTGGAGTAATGTGGCCAAAACAGGTTTAGCAGCTCCGTTTGTGGCAAAAACGCTGTTTAGGTGGAGGAGGAGGGACCCTGAAAAGCAAAGGATCGCTCTTTGAGAAAGTGCACAGCCAGGAACCAGTGTGGCAGAAAGCAGTACAGCGCCTGGAAATGGTCTGGTGGCACCTGGCCCTGTGAGCCCAGCATTGGCTGGTGTTCCCCAGGGGATGTCCCCATAGTCATCTCATGAATGAACTCTCAAAACCCATGGCTGGAGAAAAGTGAACCAGACTGGGACATAAATTTGGGACCAGACATGCAGAGACAGTGATTTTCACTGAGCTGAGAGCCATTCCCTCCGAGCAAACAAGTGCAGACCGTGCTGTCAGACCCTTATTTGATTTGTCTCCCCACGGCACTGCACCGTTTGCCTTCATTACTTTCTCTGTCCCTTACCATAGTCTTATCATGGAGCATCTGTCCAATAAAAGGCCTGTTAATATAATTTATATCCAGTTGTCACTTTCTGCCTCACCCAGGAGAATGGGCTCCCTGGGTGCGCCATGCCTTGGAAAAGCAGTTATCCTGAGTGGAAGAAGTGACATCCTAGCAGATTTTATTGCTACGTTCAGCTTTGGGAAGTTACATTATGTGGTCTGCATCCTGGGATGGGGAGCTCAGGATGCTGTTTCCTCTAGAAAATCCTTTCTGAGAATGAAATGAGCTTCATCCTCAGAAAAGTGGTGAAAAAGCAAACTGCAGTGATGTTACAGGAGCCCCGAGCTGTGGGTGGTGTGGTGTTAGTGCAGCTTTGTGCTTCAGCCATAACCCTCTGAAGGATGTATTGAAGGAACGAACGAGCTGCAGGAGGATGGCACGTGGGAGCAGACCATCCTGAAAGCACTCACAGGTGATCCATAAGGAGGAACCAGTGGAAACCTGAGCACTAGAAGGGAAACTGCAAGAGAAATTAAGTGCGGCCAAGTGCTGGTGGGGTCATTGTGCATGGGGACAGAGCTGAGCCAGTGGGGGAGCAGGAGAAGGGGTTTGCATTTCTCCCTTTGCTTTTTCTGGCTGTGCTGGCAGCTGTCAGGCAGCAAAGGAAAGATAATGAGAGAAATCTGCTCTGTGTCTCTGACAGCTTTCTCCAATGTGTCACGTTCAATTGTCCCAACAGGAGAAGATGAAACTTCCCTGGCTGCCGCAGCGAACACAAGGAGAAATGAAGCCCTGTAATTAAAGCTGCTATAACTGCCTGGCAGCAGGGCCAGCTCTTGGGTTCTTGCTTGGCTTTGGTGCCTTGGCTGTCCTAAATATATAGAAAATTAGATGAGTTTTATCTTTTTCTAGTCTGAACATCACAGCCTTCCTTTTCACAGTGCAAGGTGCTCCATCCTGCCTGGGCCTTCCTGAGCTCTTCAACAACGTCAGCGACTGTGATGGACTTTTTTGGAGAGGTCCATGGGCAAGACCATGTGGTCTTAGAGGGTACAACATGCCTGTCACAGAGCTACTTTGCCATTCACTGGCCAAGGGGAAGGCAGGAAATACACAGAGGACCAAAGCACCCATGTCTCTTGTCCCCACCCAGGTGACCATCACCACCCCACCTTGAAGACAACACTCCCCTTGGCCCCAGATGGCTGCCCCACATGCTACCATGCCATCTCTCATCCGTGCTAATTGTGCATCACTTTCCTTTCTTAACCAAACTATCCCCATAAACCAAAGCAGGTGCTGCTGGGACATCAGTTCCATCGTCCTTACCATGTTGCAGCAGGAACAGGTGCAAGTGATGCTTGGCTGCTGGTGGCCAACTGTCCCTGCACACAGCTGCAGGGCTGGGAAGGGATCTGAGGTCCCTCTGTGCTTCCCACGGCCCTGCTGGGAGGAATGGGATCCGAGCACATCTCTGACACTGATGCTCCATCTCCATTTGCACAGCCCTGGTCCCAGATCCAGCTACAAGGGCTTTGCAAACACTGTCCATGTGAGCTTTCCCCCACCCACAGTCATGTGAAGCAAGCAAAACCCGGCCCCCCCCCCCCCCCCCCCCCCTTCTGCTTTTGGGGAGGGGTGGTGAAGAATCTGCTGGCATTCCCAGTGCCATCCATCACAGCTCCAACTGTCTGGGAAAACTGCTGTAAAACTGAGTTTTGGCTCTGTCAAGGAAAGAAAAAAAGCCATGGCCGTTGCAAACAACCCCGGCACAAAAAGCCTTACAAGGCTGGGGCAGCCTCACAGATGGATTTCTTTTTAATCCCCAAGCGAAGGTGATAAATCTTTGAATTGGAGGCACCATCAAGGGATGCTGCACGGCCAGGGGGATTTGCTGTGCCGCGGTGTGAGCACGTGGGGTTTGGCCACAGCGGGTTCCAATGGGATCGGCTGCTGGGAAGGCACTGCTGTAAATCTCAGAGGACAGATGACAACTTTTGAGAAGCAGCTCTTGGGAAATGAACCATTTGGAGAGAAGGTGGCGGTGCAGAGCTTGAGCCAGGCACGTGCTCCGAACTGTGGGGACAGAGAGAAATGTCCCCCAGCTCAGAGCAAACCCATTGCAGGCATTGTTTTGGAGACCTCCTAGCACAGTGTCCATCCTGCCACAGGGGAAATCTGATCATGCCACGGCTGATGGCATGGCTGGGAGATGTGGGGGTGCCTACATAGCCCCAAAACCTAACCCCATCACTCATCCATGGCTTGTCCCAGCCATCACCTCTGTGCATAGCCCCCAGCAGGGGTAATCCCTCTGATTCATCCTGCAGAAGCACCTTATCACCAGCCACATATCTGTGCAACACATACAAGCACTTGACCAAGCCTGCAGCAGGGATGGTGACATGGAGCCACAGGGTTGTCCCCATGTGCTGTCCCAAAACAGTGGCTGGAGGAGTGAGGTTTGCCCTCAGATTCTCTTTGGGGTGATCATAAACAAACCTCTGAACAGCCCCAGCATCAGCACCTGATACACACTGCTGGACCATCACCACCAGCTTCCCCTCCTGCGTCTCAAAGAGCAAACTGTGCAGCCAAGAAGAGGCGGTGGAGACACATGGAGCATGGCTGTGCCAGGGGACAGCTGGGGACATAACCCCAGGGGGGGTCACCTTCTGCTGTCCCTTGGCCAAGGTGTTTAGTCCCCTGACTTCCCTGCTGCCCTAAGCTGGGGCATGACAGACCTGAAACTCCGCTTGCTGTTGCTGCGCAATAGAATGCTATTGACTGCCAATTAAAAAGCCATTCCCCAGAGGTTTCCATCTGGGGAAGTGACCTTGTGAGGCATAATGGGGCAATAACAGCCATCAAGGAGGCATCTGTCACCTCCACCCGTGGCTGTCTGGGACTGGGAGCGATAGGAGATAGAGAGGGGAGAAAATGGAGATCGATGCACTTTGCCATGTTGACGTGATCTGGAGAGCAGCTGAGAGGATCCTGAAGGGCAGAGGTTAATGCAGCCCCACATTCATCTGCACAACAGGATCCCAAAGGGAAACACTTTGTTAATGGGACAGGGGCTGTGAGCTGGGGCTGGGTCAGCGGGACACAGGAGGGAGTTTTATGAGCACACGTCCTGGCTGGGGGAAAACTGGGGCTAGGAAAGTTGTGTAAGAAGCAGCTCAGCCTGCTCTGGTAGCCATGGGGAGGCAGTCTGGAGTGCTGATATTCCATCCCATGGGAGGATCCTGTGCGCACCAGGATGGCAGCAGCATTGATCCCAGACAGCAAATCGATCAGCCCCTCCAGCCGGGGGGAGCCAGCCTGCCTGCCCACCTGCTGTGGCATTTTGTGACATTTTCCCAGCAGCGTGTCTGGGGACAGATTGATCATCTCCATTCCAGGGGCGGCCCCATGCATCGTGTGTCCCTCTCGCACCTTCCCTACCTCAAGTGAGCAAAGACCCTGGAGAGCCATCAAGGCATGGTGGCACGTTTTGGGGTGCCTTTAGGGGTAGGAGCTGCCATCATCACCTTCCCCGGCAAATTTATTGCACAAAGATGTGTGGATATGCAGGAGGGGGATGAAGGGACGGTGCCTATTACTGTTGTCAGCACGTGGGAGGATAGCGGGGTACTGGGGACAGGTCTGAGTCCCAGGGAATGCAATTAGGGCACAAATTGAGGAAGAATGGCTCTGATTTGTGATTCTTGGTGAGGAACAGCTCATGCAGGGTGGGGATGAGGGGGGCCTTGTGACACCATGATGTCCTCACTTTGTCTGGCCCCAGTGATGAGTGCAGAGGATGCAATGCAGCCTGGTCATAGTGAGGCAAGGGATGGTCTCCATATCCCTGGAGCAGCCAAGAGAAGCAGCCTGGCAGCACACCTGGAGAAGTAGCCCTGCTCCTGCTGGAACAGCACGGTGATGCACGGCCCCATTGCTTCCCTCCATCCTGCAGATGGATGCTGTGGTGATGGTGATGCCAGTGCTGATGGTGGGGAAGCTGTTTTGGTTCCTCCATGTCCTCTTGCTATTCAGCAGAGGGATGTGGCATGTGTGACAGCCTGGCCACCCTCCATCTCCTCCATCTCCTCCAGCTCCTTCATTTCCTCCATCTCGTACTCCTCAGCATCAGAGAGGGGCAGCCCATTGGCACTGGGCATGGGCTCACACTCAGTGCTACGGGTGGTGGCATGGGTGACACTGGGTGAGTGCTTGCATGAGCCTGGCGGGTGCTGGCCGGGGTGACACATCACCTCCTTGAACATCTCACGGAAGCGGGTGGACATCAGGTTGTAGAGGATGGGGTTGGCGGCCGAGCTCAGGTAGAAGAAGATGCCTGAAATGATGTGGACGTACTGGAACATGTGGAGCATGGGGCCAGTCCAGGTGGAGATGAAGCTCCAGACGAGACGATCGGTGTGGAAGGGGGCCCAGCAGATCCCAAACACCACCACCAGCACGACTGCAGAGTCAGGGGCTGTTGTTAGTGGGGTATGGTGCTCAACATCCCAATGCCCTTTTTTGCCGCCATACTTGGTGCCCCAATGCTGGGGAGGCAGTCAGGGGCTGCTGGGGGAAGGGACAGGGAAGGGAGAGTAGTGGGACAGAGGGTGCTTTGGTCAAGCCTCAGGTCAGAGCCTCATGGCCATGGGATGGAGTAGGATTGGAGTCAACCACAACACCCCAAGGTTGTAGGGCACAAGAATCTGGGCTAGGGGAGGGAAAGATCCACTGCCCCAGCCTTGTTCCTTTCCTTTTCTTACCCAGGGCTCTCCTGGGTGAGCCACCACAAACAGACCCCACTGCTGGACCACAGCCGCCAGCTCTGCCTTTGCCCCCACAACCTTCCTCCAGGATGACCAAGTGTTGTGTGTATATCTAGAGAAAACCCCGTGACACCAAGGATTATCAAGACCCCACTTTCCTCCCAGCACCCTTCCAACACCCCAATTGGCTTTGCCTGTCCCCAGTCTCAGACTCACACAGCATCTTCGTGACCTGCCTCCTCTTCACCTTCTTCTGTCCCTGGACTCTGTGATAGTCATTGTCACCACTGGACTTGGCCCCCAGGGCCTCCAGCATCTTCTCTTTCTTGAGCTGCAGGCCGATGAGCAGGTAGAGGATGCTGATGGTCCCCATGGGCAGGAAGAAGAAGACGATGGTAGTGATCTGGATGATGAGATTGTAGGTCAAGCGTGGCTTCACCAGGGTGCAGATCTCTGAATCAGGCACGCGGCCCCGGCCAGGCACATAGAGAGGTTGCAGCCCATGGATGCTGGTGTTGGGGATGGAGCAGATGACTGACACCACCCAGATGGTGATGATGACCCTCTTGGCGTGGTTCCTGGTCACCACATACTTAGCTTTGAGTGGGTGCACCACAGCAATGTAGCGCTCCACGCTCAGGGCGGTGACGTTGAGGATGGAAGCGAAGCAGACGGCCTCAAAGAGCAACGTCTTGAAGTAACAGCCCCCAGCCCCCAGCAGGAAGGGGTAATTGCTCCACATGTCATACAGCTCCAGCGGCATTCCCAGCAGCAGCACCAGCAGGTCAGACACAGCCAGACTGAACAGGTAGTAATTCGTGGGTGTCCTCATGAAGCGGTGCCGGAGGATGACGATGCAGGTGAGTGTGTTGCCCACTGCCCCCACAGCAAAGATCAGCAGGTAGATCACGCAGACAGGGATGAAGAAGTTGGATCTCCGAGGCCCTAAGTATTTATGTCGCAGCTGCTCCTCCGTCAGGTTGGCGTCTTTGGGGTCGAATAAAGCGTCAGAGTGAGTCCTGTTGCAGAGGTCGGGGCTGGGGGGCTCCATGGGGAAGTCTTGCTGGGACAGGGGGAGCTCAGGGCTGAAGCAGTTGATGTAAGGATTCATGGCTGCGGGAGACGTGGCAGTTCACCGGGTGTTCTCCCAAACCCTCTGCTGCTCCTGAGCCCGATCCTCTCTTCCCATCAGGGTTACAAGACTGCTAATCACCACAGCTCAGCACCCCCATCCTGCCCCAGCCAAAGCTTTTCCTTTGGGAAAGCACCCGTAATTTTCCAAAGCTCCCCCTATAGGAACCCCATGCTCCCCTTACCCCGCTTTCCATTTACAAACAGCCCTGGCAGCTCCCTAACCCAAAGTGGCCCCTTCATCCCACCTGTGGGGACACTGTGGCAGGACTGTCCCCTCTCCTCTTATCCCACAGGACACAGCCCCAAAGCCAACCCCAGACTGCGCCGTGCATTGCCCCAGCTCCCCATGCAGAGGGGCTGAGAGGTAAAATAGCTGAGGGGAAAATTAATCTTCCTCTCCAGGAAGGACTTACGTCTCTCTGGGAAGCTCCGGATGCAGGATGAGGTCCCAGTACCCCTATATCAGACGGGGTTGGACGGGGAGGGAGCAAAGGAGGGGATGGAGACGTCGCTGCCTTAAGAGGCAGGAGAAAGGAATCCTGCTTTCCACTTGGAGCTCCGCTCTCGGCAGCCCGCTGCCCCTCTCCGCCAGCTGCTGCTCTCCTCCGTCAGCGAGGGGCTCCCGGGGGGCTTCCTCCCGTCCCCAAACCCAGATCCCAGACCGGGGGCTGGAACCTCGCCGGCAAAGCGGCACAGCGGAGGAGATGCTCTTCAGGAGGGGAGAGGAAATACGTTAAAGTCATAAACTCCATTGACTCGAGAGAGTCCCGGGGGAGGGCAGCACGGCCGTCTCCATCCCCACCAGCAGCCTTCACAACGCGCTGATTTGCCATTTGCGTAGCGAAGGAGGCATCGATCAGCGCTGCTCTGCCGACACTAGCGGGCGCGGGGGCCGGAGTTGGACGGAATTCTGCAGGGAGGGCGCAGAAGGAGCCGGCGGCTGCTCGAGGTCTCCGGGCTCCCAGATGTGCAATCCCTGGGTCCTCCCCGTCGCCGGCTGCCCGAGCTGGAGCCCATCGCCGCTGCGATCGCGGCATCACCTCTCGCCGTGCACCGGGCTCGGATCCCTCCCGCTGCCTGACCGTCCATCTGTCTGTCTATCTGTGAGCCTGTCTGTTTGTCCGTCTGTCTGTCTATCAGTCTGCCTGTCCTCTGCACTGATCAGCCCCCACCGGCTGCAGGGTAACAACCCCGCTCTGCAGGCATGTGGACACGTGCACACGCACACCCCCCACACACCCCCTGCGCTCACATGTCCCAGAGCACCGTGACAAGCTGCCCCTCTCCCCCCGCAGCTCCTCTCTCTCCAAAAACATGCGCCTCCCTTTTCTTTTCTTTTCTTTTCTTTTCTTTTCTTTTCTTTTCTTTTCTTTTCTTTTCTTTTCTTTTCTTTTCTTTTCTTTTCTTTTCT